GGTCCTTTTCTGGTTTTGGAATCAAGGTAATACTAGCTTTCAGGAATGAGTTTAGAACTACCCTTTTCCTTTTAATTTTGTAAAGAGTTGAGGAATATTGAGGTTATATATTCTCTCTGAAGTTCTTTTAGAATTCTGTGAAGAAAGCCTCATACTCTGGGCTTTTCTTAATTTGTAGGTTTTTCTTTTTAAATTATGGACTCAATTTCATTGCCTGATAATGGATTATTCATGCTTGTTATGTCTTCTTAGTTCTGCTTTGGTAGACCATATGTGTCTAGGAATCTTTCCAATTCTTCAAGCTTCTATTTGCTGGAGGTTAATTTTTCATAGTAGTTACTAATAATCTAAATTTTAGTAGGTTCCACTGCAATTTCACCTTTTTCATTTCTAATTGCATTTATAACCCTTCTTTTGTTAAGTTTGGGTAAGGGTTTGTCTATTTCAAAGAACCAGCTATTTGATTCCTTGATTAATTATGCTAGATGATTTAGTCTTAATTTCATTCATTTCCCTTCTGCTGTTTATGATTTCCTTCCTTGTACTAGGCTTGGTTTTGGGCTGTTTTTGTTTTTCAAGAATTTTTAGGTGTACTGTTAGTTTTTTATTTGAGATCACTCCATGTGAAAATGTCACTCTAATGTGAAAATTCTTAGCAATAAACTTACTTCTTAAAATTGCTTTCATTGTGTCCTATAGTTCCTGGTATTTCTTACTGGCATTATTGATTCTAGGAATTGTTTTATTTCTTCCTTGATTTTTTCTGTGACCCATCAAGTGTTCAAGAATATGTTGCTTAATATCCAAGTGTTTGTAAAATTTCTGTGGTTTCTTTTGCAATTGATTTTTTAGTTTTAATGCACTACCAATTGATAGTATACATGAGGGATTTCAATTCTTTTGTATGTATTTAAGCAGGCTTTATGGACTAGTATGCCATCCACTTCAGAGAAAGTTCCATGTGCTGTTGAGAAGAAAGTGTGTTCTGTTGTAGGAGGGCAGAATGTTCTGTAAATATCTATTAAGTCCATTTGTTCAAAGGTGTGGTTCAAGTTTGGGTTTTTTGATTAGTTTTCATTTGATCTTTTGCTGAAAATGGGGTATTGAGGTACCCGAATATGATTGTGTTGGTGTGTCTACTTGACATCTGATGTCCAATAATGTTTCAAGAAGTGGAATGCACTGGTATTTGATGCGCACATGTTTACAATCATCATCTGTTCCTGTTGACTTGTTCTTGTCCTAGTGACCTTCTTTGCCTCTTCTGATCATTTTTAGCCTGAGGTCCACTTTGAGAATACAATGCTACCTCCGCTTGCTTTGGGGATCCTGGTGCATGGAATATTGTTTTCCATCCTTTGATTTTTAGTGTAAGAAGTATTTTTTGGATTAGATGAGTCTCTTTTATGCATCAAAGTGCTGGGTTTTGTTTTTTGATCCAGTCTGTCAATCTGTGTCTTTTGATTGTGGAGTTGAGGCCACTTACATTGAGAGTTATTACTGAAAGGTGCTGACTTATTTCTGTCATTGCATTATTTTTATACTGTTCACTGCTTCATTTTTCTCTTTTTGTTTAACCACTCACTCTTCTTGATATATTAATCCTACCAGATATTTTGGCTTTGTTGGATTCATTACCTCTGTCTAGGATATTCTTGAGTATTTTTTGGAGGGCTGATTTGGTGGTCATGATTTTCTTAAGATGCTCTCTGTCAGCCAGGTGTGGTGGTGCACACCTGTAATCCCAGCACTTGGGAGGCTGAAGCAGGAGGATCATTGTGAGTTCAAGACCAGCTTGGGCTACAAAGTGAGCTCAAGGCCA